GTACCAGTATCGCATCCGGGCCGTCAACGTGGAGGGAATGAGTGACCCTCTTGAGACAGAAGACGTGCGTGCTGGAGAGCCCATAGGTGAGAGCTACTTTACTATATCTATTATAATCATCAGTACCACCATCTAAACCATCTCTCCCTGAGTGTCCGTGAAAATTATCATCACACCCATTGACATTATCAATTCATTGTCAAACTTACCATCTTATATATTCCCTTTTCTGGAAATCTTGCATTGCAACACTTCTCCTGTTCAAATCCACCTACACAGCGCCTCCAGGCTCAGCATCACAGCCTCAGGTGTCTAATGTAACCAAGGACACCATGACAGTGAGCTGGACCCCTCCAGCCCACAATGGGGGAGCCCCAGTTCTGGGCTACATGCTGGAGAGGAGGAAGAAGGGGAGTAACATGTGGTTACAGGTCAATAAGGAGCTGCTCACAGGTCAGACTCTGACTCTGTTACAGGCTTTGTTTACGCCTTGTTTTTTAGATTCCTGAGTAAGGATACAGTGTTTCAACATGTATCATCAACTCTATACATTTAACATGGTTTTCATTACTGTATTGACAGTACATACAGTACATCCTTCGGTTTGTGGGTGCATTTCACACATTGAATTTATATCTGTATTATGTTTTTAGATACAAAATTCATGGTGGAAGGGCTGGTGGATGATGTGGAGTATGAGTATAGAGTCACCAGTGTAAACAGGGCTGGAGCAGGCAGTCCCAGTACCATTTCCAATCCTGTCCGGGCCAAAGACCCAATAAGTGAGTCCTTCACTGCCTCCATCATTTTCTTCCCTTCCTTCCCTCTCTGTATCCGTATTATCTAGCCTATCTAATGTATGAAAACTCCCCTTGTAGGAGCCCCTGGCCTGGTGAGGAACCTGTGTGTGTCTGATTCTACAAACTCCTCCATTTCTCTGAGGTGGACACCTCCAGAGCAGGGAGACCAGCCCTCAGGTTACATCTTAGAAGTTCGCCCTGAAGATGCTAAAGAGTGGATGAAGGCCACCAAGATCCCCATCGCTGGCACTGCCTTCCATGTGGGAGGACTTAAAGAGCGGATGAATTACCGTTTCCGTATACGGGCTGTCAATGAAGGAGGGGTGGGGGAGCCCATTGAGCTGCTAGAGGGTGTCCTGGCCATGCCTCCACCTGGTAATATGACTGCATTCTCTTGTAGTCACCCTTTTCATTTTTTCTCCATATAATTTTCCCTTTTCTTTGAATTTTTTCTCTTTGCAGTGGCACCCAGGTTTGATCCCCAGGGGAAGCTGAAGAACCAGATGGTAGTTCGAGCCGGAACCGCACTTTGCCTTCACCTCAGCTTCACTGTAAGACTCTGATCATCTTATCCCTTATTCCTATCAAATGAATTCTTACCCCTCAATCCTTCCATCTGACACCCTTACAGGCTTCACCTCCCCCAGTGGTAACCTGGTTCAAGGATGGCATGATCACTACAGGAGGGAAAGTCATCACAAAGAGCAAGAATCACTCCCAGTTCCTCATTTCCTCCACTCGGCGTTCTGACTCTGGCATCTACCGTGTGCACCTGAAGAACGACTATGGAGAGGCTCACTATGATGTCAATGTCCGTGTTACAGGTAAATGATGGAGGCTTGATTCTATATGTATCTAGCCTTTAATTGTATGCTGTATTTACATACTGTATTTACTAAACTAAAATTTCTTTCACTTCTTACCCTCCTGTGATCGCCTCCTTTCCTCAGACTTTCCTCGACCCCCAAAGAACCTCCGCCTGGAAGAGGAGGTTCCGGGCACAGTAACCCTGCAGTGGGATCACACTCCAGACTTGGCTGACAACGATGAAGGAGCACATTATGTCATCCTCAAACGTGACACCAGTACTGCCTCCTGGTTCACTGTGGCCGAGCGCGTCTTCAGCAGCAAGTACACTGTCACTGGACTGCTTCCTGGGAGGAAGTACTACTTCCGAGTCATTGCACAGAACTCTATCGGAGACAGTGATCCCTTGGACTCAAAGGAACCTCTCATCATCGCTAAGGAGAAAGGTGACTGAAAGATGTTTAATTACGGCATTATACTATTGATCAGCATGTCTAATTAATAATTTTTTTTGTATCTGTTTCTGTATGTGTATGTCTATTTAAGAGTGCATCAACAGTCTTCGGTTGAAGGAATATGTTGCACCATCACGTCAGGTGAAACCTACGTTCCTGCTGCCACTGAAGGATCACGCTGTACGCAGAGGCCATGACTGCAGCATGAGCTGTGCCTATCAGGGCATGCCAACACCACAGGTATGAAGAACATGGTCACTGATATCAGCGTGGTGCATCTACCTGAAACGTCTGCGTGTTCCCCAGTAGTAAAAATATTGTTTATTCCCCTGCATAGGCCTGCTGGTATAAGGGGGAATCGAAGATCTCTGACTGCCCTCGGTTTTGGCAGAGCACAGCTAACGGCGTGTGCACCCTGGTCATCCCTACATGTGGAGCCAAAGATGGCGGAGAATACACACTGGTGCTGGAGAACCCTCTGGGGACAGCCAAGTGCTCCTGCAACCTGGTGATATTTGGTAGGTTTTAAGAAGAGAGAGAGAGAGAGAGAGAGAGAGAGAGAGAGAGGAATGATGGTTTAATACAAAAAAGGTGTATTTTGCTTTGCTTTACTAATTCTTTATCTCTCTTTATGTGATGTGTCTTCCAGATAAGGATGACAAGGGTCTGTTGGAGAGCCTGACGAACCAGTCAAACAAAGAGAAGCTTATTTTGTAAGAAGTATGCTTAAAGTGTTGCACTTTTATTGGGCTCTGACCTCAGACTGCACGTACTGTCACCACTAACAGTGATTTTAGCTGTGGTAAGTTTTAGGACTTTAGAAATCTATATCAAAATGCTGTTTTTTCATCTTTATATTCTTTCTAATCAAGTTCCCAAGCTCTGTTAATGCATCAAATGACCACTAGAGGTCAGACTTGCTCTCAACCTTGTGTAGGCATTCTGCATCATGAGCAGATTAATGTGTGGTGTGATGGAGGGATTTTTACTCATCAGTCAGCTCGCTCAGCCCGAGAGATTGCCCTTTCTCTCTAAAGTCTATGTTTTTCTCTCTATAAAGGAATTAGAATTTAATCTTTTCTCCAGGGTTTTCATTTTTTTCCTCCAAATTCACTTCCATAGAGCATCCTGTACCAGGCCGAGTGTGTTTCTACACATACAAATAAAGTAATAAACAGTACACAATGCACCATATCCACACAGCCACTTTGGAACCACAGTTCAAGAGTCTGAAGAGTCTGGATATCAAGGAAATGGGCATGCACAGTGACAGTTCCCTTTGAGGGGGTCCTAGTAGTTGGTGTGTTCATCTGCATAACATGCAATGTCCTGGGTTTGAATCCAATCTACAGCTTTCATCAGATGTCATCCTCTTCTTGCTTTCCCAGTTTTGCTTGGTGCGTTCCACCATGGATGATTGAAAACACAGACACACACACACACACACACACACACAACAAATGCCTCTAAATGTATCTCAAACAAAAATAGAAACAGAAATAATTTCACCTCCCGTATTTGCCTCGGTGCTTAGAATGTAATTATTGGATTATTGGATTTGAAATGAAACAAAGAGAGGAAGGTGCTTACTGCAGGTTATCATCCACATTGGATGAGCTTTGTAGCATACCAAGAATCTCCCAATTTTAGATCACTGTCCTGACCATTGCACAAGATTTCGGGATTATATGTATAAAAAAGGGCTCCAAGTTTCGACACTATTCATCCAATACAGATTTTATTTGACCCTTACAATCTGAAAGTCTTAAACCTAAAAGTGTACTTTAGTTAATTAATCATTTAGTTAATTTTGTTAATTTAGTTAACTTTTAAATCCAAAGTGTGGTGTAGTGTGTGTAGGCTTCCCCCAGGAAAGCCTGTGTATAGGCATTGCTTCTGAGTGGTCTGCTGCTGCTTGAGAGAGAGTGTGGTCTGGTAAGGAGCTGCCAAATAGAGGTTACAACCCCTCTCCATCCTGACGTCACCATGCTGGCTCTCACAAACTCCATTTCTATAGAGCCACCAGACGACTGGCAGTGTCAGTTGCCAGGTTCAGATCAATTAAGCACCAACAGGCACTAAACCGACGTCACTGGTACCTTCCGCCTCCCTACGGCTCAGCTAAGGCACAATAAGGTGGAAGTAGTGAAAGCCTGAATAGTCAATCTAGGTATTTGACAGAAACTAAAGGCTGCTGCACCCAAAGGGAACTAAACCCTCTTGTATTTGTCTTGTTTCCATGATGTTTTCATCACATTGCATTTATACGACTAAACCTAAGAGATACAGGATGAAAACCTATTAAAGGATTTTCCGATACATAACTTGAATGGAGTAATATTATATGGTAGATAATCTCTTTCACATTTTTTTTTTTAGATTCAATGTCATTTCAGCATTTCAGCAGACGTATGTGTCACCAAGCCTATTTTTGTCAGTCATTACAGATATGCCTGATTTTCATAGAAGACTGGAGTTCTTTGATGGTAAGACCTTGGCTGCAAATGAATGAGATGCATTTGGAGAGAACTGGCATGATTCCTAAAGGAATAAACTATGAGATGTGCTGTGTAAATGTGGGTGTGTGCATGCACATGTAAAAAAAAAATAAAAAATGGGGGAGATAAAAAAAAAGCAGACAGAACAAGAGAAGGCAAGAGGAAGCATCGCTAGCAGTTCAACCACAGGGTTGAAGCCTGTTGAAAGCACATTTTCCACCTCTGCCACACTATAGAGCGCAGCAGTTACTAGAACAGAGCTCTCTGTTGTCCTCCAGTTCTTTCTGCCTTAATGGCACTTTATCTGCTGAGGGCCAACAGCTTCTGTAGAAGCACAAAACACTGAACTGTTATAAATATCAGCTGACATTTTGAAGGGCATTTTACGGCCCCTTTTGATCCTAGGAAACAGCAAAACAAACAAAGAAGACCAAAGGATGTAATGTTGAAGTTGCATTGTAATTGCATTTATTTCTCCAATAGATATTCACATTCATAGCAGTTTCACTACAGCAAAGAAACTATTTTGTCTCTACAGTCATAAAAGAAATAAATCACTAAATGAAAATCAAGGACAACAAGGTAAAGTGTATCATAGAATAAAAAAAAAAACATTTGTTCATAAAAGGAAGTCAAATGATGCATTGTAATGGGCTTTCAATAAAAAAAGTTATTTGTGGAAACCAAACCCAGCTTTTTCCACAGTGACAAGCAAAAATACCATTTGGGGCTGTTTTCTGCAAATAAAAGGATAACACTTAAAATTTTTTTAAACATACATACGTTTGTAACACTTCCAGAGCAATTAATGCCTTTTTATACAAATTGCTGATTCTCCCATGCATCAATGTGTCATTTTCTTGTGCTTAAACCATCAACAGTTACTTGAAAGAAATTCAAAGAGCCAAGAAAAAGGGAGCATATACTTTAAAGAATACCGTACACAACAATCCTTTTTTTTTTAAACACTATAGCTGTTGATTGGAAAGAGAGATTGACTGGCCTTACTCTGGGTACAGAAAAGTGCAGCACAAAGTAGATTCAGATATATTACAAAGAGCATTATTTTTTACATACTTCTCGTTGGCTCATACTGATGTTGGAGAACTGTCAGTCATACTCATAAAAGCACCTGTAGTGTGCACTTTTCACTTTGTCAAGATGAGTGTTGACAACCTACTTGTCATGCATGAGTATGGATACACAAACCTTACAACTCTATGTTTTGAATGTCACCCGCCGTGTAATAATGAGCACAGCACATTAACAGCAAAGGCTTCAAATCAAAGATTACAAGAAAAAACAGCAAAAAAAAAAAAAAAAAGAGAGAGAAAACTTTCAAGAGCGAAAAAAATGCCAACTTATTTAGAGGACCAAGCGAAACCACGGGCACTCTCTCTGCGACAAAAGCTACTGGTTCCACCTCACTTCCTACAGCGCAGGCCGAACCATACTGGCCTCCCACAGCTCTCTCAGGTCCCTTTTGTCTGCACACACAAAGCTCAGAACAGGGCTGTTGACAGGCTGATGTAAAGTGATGCGCTTGCTGGCCTGCCATCTGTGGGGTGGGGGCAGGATGGTGGCCGGATGTAAAGGGAGTCCTCCTCTGTGTGTCATATTTCACCTCACCTAACTCCAGCTACAGTATCACTCAACATTAACCTCCTTCCTAAACGGAAGGCCGAATGTACTCCAGCACCAACGAGGGGGACCTGTGTCTCCTGCAACACAAAAGGTTGTTTGATACATGAGTGGGCTCCAATGCTTAGAAGTTCCACTCAGTGAATTGAGTTTGGTTTTCTATTATGCATTCAGCTTTGGTTATCTGTGCCCAAGTCAAATAAAAATAGAAAGGATGGAGGAGAAACAATGAATATTTAAAACTAAATCCTCCAGTTAGGCACAATAACTGGAATTTTACTGATTCAATATAGCATTTGAGTTTATTTCTTTATTTACAGACTATCAAAGTCATGGAGGTTTTCCAAAGTGTGGGTTGGCCAACAAAAATAATCTCAGAAATACTTCAAAGTAAAGCCTGTCGTCTGGCATGTAGCCATTAGGACTGTAGGAACAAGAGTCAGGAGGCTTTATGTGGCAGAAGACAAAGAAAGTGGTGATTACATAAATTGCCTACATAGTAAGGATGACTAAGACGGCTTGACTCAATTCCGTCATTCCCTCGTGGTTTTACTTCAGACTGCATACTAGAGTCAATCATGTTAACCAGCATTTCTCCTTGTACTTCACAAAACCCTGACTTAAGACAGCATAAGCAGACAAATGCATGTCTGCTAGCGAGCCTCTGTGGATGTCTTTCAGCACAAAGGCTTATATTAATTGTTGATAGAACATGTTCTGCCAGCGAGGTGGATGAGATGAGAAGAGGGGGACTCTGTGGCAACGCCGGAAGGACAAATTAAAACACGGAACAGAAGGCGAGTGGTCACACAGATGGACTGACAAGACACTTCTGACTGACAAAGCAAAAATATGGTGCTGAAAAAAGCATGCTGACGGGCCAAAAGGAGATTGAGGAACTATCTGGCAAAGCAGCAGTCGGGACACTTGGGCTGAGTGTCTTTCCTGGTCAAACGTAAGACTGTGTGCTGCTGTTTAAGAAACCGTGTTGAGTGTCAACACCACGGTCTGCCTGCAGACCTGTCATGGTGGCTGATGTGATGCATAAGCATATTTTGATGTGTGTGTGTGTGTGTGTTTTTTTTGTGTGCGTACGTTGGTGTAACCGACAGCTCCAGGGTTCATTGACCCAGAAGAAGAAACCCATAACATGGGTCTGTTTCTTTTTCCATGCACGTTTGTTTTATATACAGCACAATATATCATGTTAAGGTGCATGTGGACTGGACCATTACATAACAATACCTGTCCCTTGCTATTTTTTTTGTTAGTAATTAATACTTTCAATTGCGAGTGTACATTTATAATAAAACTGAGTTTAGTGGTTTAATCATAGAGCCAGTGACATATGCTAGGTAATAGGTAAGGGTATAGTCAAGAGACGGCATGTCCACCAATGGAAATGCTTCCTATTAAGGGTCAAACGAACCTAAAGAATATATATAACCCACTTTAAATATACTGTACCTAATCAAATACTACCTTAAAGTCATCTTTAACAGGCAGCACATTCGGGGGCTGCTATAAAACACATAAAGAGGTTACAAATCTCAAGAGGTGAAGGGTATGAAGACAGTTTAAGAGCCTTGTGAGAATACATTAAAGATACCCAGCAGTGTGTCTACTCCACTATGATGGTTCACAGCATTTCTGGCCTTGAGTTGGTTCTGACTTGTCACAGGCGTTCACTCAATGGCTAAGACAATACACACACTCTCTCACAAGTACACACACACACTCAAAACATTATATATATATATATATATATATATATATATATATATAGACGCCTGTACAAAGTGTTACAGTATACTTCTTTGATATTCAGTAAGACACTTCATCCGAACATAAACTGTTTGCAGAGGGTGAAACAAATGAAAGGTGAGAGGGGGAAATGTGTGATAGATGAAAGACAAAATATCAGCCAACCTTTCTGGGATTAGCTGCGGTGGATTTTGCAGGATTAAAGCTGATGAAGTGTGCTGTGAGAAGGAATTATTGGGAATAATGGGATTACTGTTCCCTCACATGACAAGCCAGTTCCCTCATCTCCCTTTTTTTCTTCAGTCAGGATGCCCTGTGGCAATGTGTATGCTAATGTGCCTGTTTCTGTGTGTGTCATCATGAGTGAGTTGAATATCTTATGAGGCCCAGACATGCACGCAAACATACACATACACATACACACAGAGCTGATAAACAAAAAAAAACAAAGAAGACAGTAACATAGTCCTTTCTTTGCATTCTTTAGAACATGGTCCCACGCCAGTGACAGCATGGGTCGGCTGATCTAGTCCAGCAATAAGAACCCCGTGGACTTTTCCTAATAACTAAACCAGCAGGGGTTGAAGGTGTCAGGTGTGTGAGCATGTCAACTTCTGCAACCTACATTTCTGGAAAAACTGGCAGGCAAAACACTGAAAGCCTTCACGCCAAAAAGGAGGAGCAGGTGCACTGTACAGCATGTTACAATGTGTGCAGTGGTCTGCTGTGACTGTGTTTACTGTGTTCTCTTTGTGACAACAGGACGGTGTCAATAAAATCTCAGCAGGAGGGTTCGAGCTTCCACAAACAACCACCCTTTTCCTAAGAGTCTGACTCAGTGTTCAGTCACTAAAACTACAATACACAGTGGTTGTTGCAGTCACGCAACTCTCCCTCCTTGCCTTTCCACCTCATTGCCTTATTATTAATTTTTTGTTTTCCATCTCTGCTCTTCTTTCTCTGTACATTTAGTTATTCAAGGACAACCTAATTCATTCATCCAGAGAGACTGGGTGTGGATTTGCAGTGGATGTTAAATAACGGCGTGAACAAAGGCAGTGTGGTCGTTGTAAATGAAATGGAAGGGACTGCAGATAATAAAACAGGTGTGGATAGGCTCCTGACTTTAAGAATAGCACCCTTAATTCAGGGGAACACAGAGCCACGGAGAGTGAAAAGCCAAACATGGGCAAGTCAGTAAAAAAAAAAAAAAAACACTCCCTTTTTAACAAGGACCAAAATAAAATGTTGCATTGTGTTATTGGACCGCATACAGAATAGATGTGTGTGTGGTGGGAGTCAGTGTGGTGACTGTGTGGAAAGCGAGGTAAGAGTGTTAATCAAACACACATAAACGCGCGCGCACACACACACACACACACACACACACACACACAATTGCTCTCCCACACACACACACTCCTTGAAGGTCCCCAGTGAGATGCTCCCCTTAAATTAAAACATAACAGTTAAAAGTAAAGTAATACTTTCTATATATAGCAGGTTAATATTACTACACTTGTCTCCATGGTAACTAGGTTGAGACACAGCCAGTCTAGGATCAGAGGAGGCAGGTAGGGCTGTTGTCGGGAGAGGCTGAAGATAATACTACCATATCTTCGTGGTAAGAAGACTGGTGTTAGACCATACTAGTGGGGTAGTAGGGTGATAGCCTTGTGGAAACTGTAGTGGACCAGCTGTCATGGTAACAACAGTGTGGGAGCGCCACACTGAGATGAGGGTTGAGGGTTTGGGTATCTGGCAGTGAGATGTGTCCATGATCACTGTGGCCGGAGGGGGGGTGGCTGCCACCTTCGCTGTGGACATCATGGTATCTCATGTTCTCTTCCTGGCCACCTCCACATCCTGGCACTCGACGGCTGACAGGGCTATCAGCATCTGAGCCGCGTAGTAGGTCGCCATGATGATGGCACGCGAATGGGGCACGGGGAAGCAGAACTTGTTGACCGCGATGGTGAGGTCGGAGACCATGAAGAGCACGGCGCCCAGGCAGGCGGACATCTTGGTCCAGGTCCACAGGTCGTTGGCCAGCTGCAGGCCTGCGACGGCCCTCCATCCCATGAAGCCGATCAGGCCTATGTAGACAGCCACCAGGTAGGTGAAGGGGCCAGAGAGGTAGGGGTACAGCAGCATGTAGCTCAGAGAGGACACAGCAGTGATAATCAGGCCAGCAGACACGTTAAGGGGCTTCATTCCAAAAGCAGACGAGTAGAGGATGTGAGTGATGGCAAACATCAGAAGGCCTGTGGGACATTATATATAGGATTTATTTCAAAATAACGTAGCAATCTATCCTACACCATAATGCAAAAAACATTAATTTAAGCTTGGAGCATGAGGCGATGAATGAATGACGTGATATTATATATAAATATCTGAATAACTTGGCTCTTATATTTGTAGTTTCTGGTGGTTATTACAGCTTTCTGAGAATACTGTGACATTGTAACAAGTCACTACAACTCCAATGATAGATGAGCAGTCAGACGATGTAATAATGTGTGAACAAGCCAGTGGTTTAGCACTTTAGTTGGAGGTGAAACCAAGAAAACAAGTAGGAAAACTTGGGTTTACTACAGTAAGTATGGAAGGTCAGCGTTTGAAGGAGTTATGTCTGTAAACCATGATGGATGCTGACAACAAATGTTGGCCTTCATTTTGTCTGCAGAACCTTTCTTTTAAACCAGTATGACAGTATGACGTATGACCTGGCTGCTCATATTTTTTGCCCCATCGCTATCACCAATAGCAACGATGACCAAAACTACAACAAGAAGACCCAAGTTGAAACCGGATTCATCCTTTAAGATGTAAAATCCATAGTGACAATGCAACTCAGTGTGCGAGGTTTCTCCTCACCGTGGACGAAGTAGCCCTGCTCCTGCCAGATGAGAAAGGCATCACCCAGAGCAGAAAATATGAGGCCAGCCAAGATCTTGCGGGCACTGGAGTGAGCGCCCAGGAAGCTGAAGCCGTGTGCCAGTAAAAAAACCCACAGGCAGAAGATTGGCAGACATTTGATCAGTGCACTGAACCAGGATGGGCTTGAGGTGGGCAGCCACAGGACAAAGTATACACAGGTTGCCTTGAAGAATGGCACCAGCTTGGGGCCCTCACTCTTGACCTGAAAGCAGATTTAACATTAGTATTTGTTATTATACACTTTCTATTCAGTCAGTACAAAAATGTGATACTGTTGTCATCTAGGAGTGAGGTTTCAGACTGCAACCATTTGAATACAGCCCTCTGTAGATAAAAACGGCAAATTTTTAAGGTAACAAAAACATGATAATTCCTAGTTTCAGTTAGTTTCGTTCATTATACACGTTACCTATGAATATTATATTCCATTTCTGATCCTCCTGTTACACACTGGACCTTTAAACTAGATTTATTAAAAGGGGCTTTTATCTCAAGGTAGGAAGCTTGAAATATATCACGATGACAAAGAAGTGCAAAACAGTCAGCACTTTGTGTGTTTGAGGTACAGTATCTCACATCTTTAATTAAAAAAGAGGAACCTAAGCAGCAAACTTTAAATACTTCTCATTATTTGGGGTAGTGTTTTGAGTTAGGACTGGAACTGTCTTAGGGCTTGTTTTGTGTAGTCATTAGTTTCTCTCACAGCGTCAGACATGCACGTGCTTTGTGGCTGAAATGAAACTCTGCAGAAACAGCAAGTATAAAGGGAAATGCAATAAGCGCTCACAGTGTTACTTTGCCTCCCTGTAACCTTTTCTTCTTTTTTTTTGACTCCCTCCCCATCTTGTTTTTGTTTCTCTTCTCCTTGCCTCAGCTTCACCATCTTCTCTGTAGCTCATGTTCTTGAGAACTGCGCAAGAAGTCTCAATTTCTTCTTTCCAACTGTGTTACCCGTCGTATTTCTTTCTGCGCAAACAGATGAGGCCCAAAAGGATCACACAAATACAAAGAGAGGGCCAGAAGGGCCAGAAGGGGGTTTTACGCCACCTCTGAAATGACCACCCACCTATGGCTCTGAGAATCATTCTCTAGAGACCAAAGAAGGAAAAGAAAGGAGAGGTTAAGATGGGAGGGAGAGGAACTGAGTAAGGGTTCAATAGAGCTGAGGTCACTGGAGGAGGGATGAGGAGGATACGAGTGAGACAGGGAGGGGAGGACGAAGAAGAGGTCATAGTGCAACATGGAAAGGGCTGGGTTGCTCTTTGATGCCCCCCACAACTATTTTCCAGTGATCATTTTGTATCCCTCTCCGCAAACGTTCTGTGGTAAAGTAAAATGACTCAAACGAAAGCACTGGTCCAGTTGCAGTGTTCATGAAAGAGATAAGTAAGTAGGGCAGAAGACACGAAGCAGGAGTAACCATGGGCAAGTGAAGCTTTGGGCGCGACAGTGGGTGAGATGGGGCTACTGGCATTCAGATGACAGCTGGATTTAAGAGTGGAGAAGTGAGTGGGGGGGAGCGGAGAGGTGAGAGAAAATGAAAGGTTACTCTAGTTCATATGGTTTGTGCTCCTGGAGGAGGGGAGGAAGGGGAGGCTGCTGATTGCACAACTACTCAATAAAATAGCGGGCCAAATTACCTTCTAGGATCAGACGCAGTGTTTGAGTGATCTCAAACCTGCCCTGATGTAGCTTATATGACTAACACAGCAGGACAACAATAGGGATTTGATACACAGGTCCACCCATGGTCATAAGCTTTAAATTAGACATCATTAAGTGACCAAAACAGCAATACTTTATCTCTGAAATACTGCCATGGGGTGGCCATTCCTGTATATGTAAAGTTTCTTTATATGTTCCTCCCCAGCACGCTAAACTAATGTGATGCACTGGTCATTATGGTTTTTTTTAAAGTCCATTGAGAACTGAGCCACCTTGCACTCAAAATCCTACTTCTAAGACTTCTGGAAAAACTCAAAAGTGAGGCACTGGCTCTCTGCATGATTAAGATCTGATTAAAGAGAAGATCTAAAATGAGTAAGGGCCAGCCAAGAATGCAGACACCCTGTTGTTTTATGCCAGTCTACACTCACTCAGAGCTTCCACTGTGGCTTTGGTACATGTTCAGAACCAGAAGTTGGATTTTTTACTTTCAACTGTGCTCCCAAACTGTGGAATTTCATTTCCAAATATGTCAGGGATTTTAGTGAACAACACCTTTTTTCATCGCTCTTATTGGTGTCATTTTATATAGATGTTATGCTATACTTTAAGCTAGATTCTTTATATAAACAGAGCTATGTAACAGTAACTTAATCATTATACGCCTCACTGTAACCACGGCTACTTTCTGACACTGTGTGTTTGTGTGAGTGTGTCAATCTAATTTGTTCATGATCTTAAACAACTTAGGGCACTTTCAGTCTTTTTTTTTCTTCTGAAGTTTGATCGGACACACACACACACACACACACACACACACACACACACACACACACACACACACACACACACACACACACACAAAACAACACACACACACACACACACACACACCTATGTCTTCCAGATGTACATTGCATGAGAGGAATTTTTCCATGGAGGCAAGACTAAAGCTAGGTGTATAATGTAAACTGATGCACTCCTCTTATCTTCATCATGTACTTTGCTTGGCCTTCATAAAACAAATGGAGACATAAATAAGCCTGCACGGGTGCCAAGTAGAGGAGACAACACTGGCAACACTCCCAGACTAGCCCATATTATAACTGTTTATCAGGCCACTCATACCTACTTAAGCACAGGACACAAAAAACACAACAAATGTTTTACTGTCGGGATTCAAAGATGTTTCCAAGCACCATCACTATACAGATAGGGCCTATCTATTATTTAGTAAAATGCAGTGCAAGAACACTTTGCCTAAGATCCAGTCCAACTGCTCAATGAGCCATGATCACAAACAGTCTGATTGTTATCTGCGGGGGAAAAAACTCAAAACGTATGTAGATCGCCAGAGTCTAGCAGGGGATTTAGAGGCTGAATACAGATTCCAGGGAGGGAGGTGGAAGGAAGTTAGAGATTCCCATAACCTTTGGCCCTATTCATGCTGAATTTGAGCCATACTTTGCAGTTTCCTTTTCAATTGTTCATGTAAACTTACTGTATCGACACAATTAGAAGGGCAGCGAGGAGGAGAGAGACAAGACTCAACGGCACTGAGTACTTTGGAAGCACAAAGTGTACAGAGCTATTCAAAGTGTATTTCATTGTATCACTAGCTGGACTGAAATCTTCAACAAATTACAAAAAAAAGAGGATTACAAATAGGCCATGTGCCTCAGTTTAGTTCAATAACACTTAATAAAAAAACTCATCTTAGCTGACTTGGACTTTAATCTAAATTATGATAATGTCTCCTGAATATTATTGCTTTTGTCAAATCACCCACCATTACGGCTGTAATATCTGATGTCTGATCTAATACATGACTCCCTATCCCATTAAACTAAATTGCATTAAATTGTTTCATCAAGGCTGCCTACTTGCCTGGTGGAATTCATAAACTGTTCTACAGCGAGTGTAATTGTTTCGTTTCTCTAAGGCTCAGCTTAGTTCTCCTGTTCAATGTCTTGTACCTGAATGGGACTATCTGGGTTTTTGTCTACAGGGAAACAGAAGGGGACATTAGCGACGGCTATGAGTCCTGTCTGTTGACAGAACAGAACATAATGCCTTATTTGGAAGGGAAACGCAATGAATCATTGTGTTATCGTGTTATTGTCTGAATGATCACATTATAAATGAAGGCTGTAAAAGTGCTGTGACACATACAGCTGACACCTGCCTCTGTCCGCTGTTAGAGAATAATATGGTTAATGATTGACTGTGTCTGCATGGTCACTGACAAGCAATAGGATGGAATGATTCCCTTGTACAATGTGGCCTGGTATCCAAACCCGAAGAAACAATAGTACCAAATAAACAGTTTCTTCAAATGATTTTGTTATTTTGAACTACAGATTTCAAAGGCTTTTCCAGCTGTGTTAAACTACAAATCCATGTACTTTTTCAAGCTAGCGCAAATAATACAGAATCACTTGAAAATAAGACCTATTTGCATTAATGAATATCCATAAATCTTTCCTAATTTACACACTTTTTTGTATTTTTTTGGCCAAACTATCAGCAACTTATTCAACCCCGAACTGTAGTCCAGCAGTCCAGGAAGGAACAAGCAGCTGTTAGGCGCTAATGCTTCTGCACCAACCACGAAGACAACAAAAGCACTGCATTGAAGCATTGAATAACACCCAACCAGGACGAACATCCATTCAACCATTCTGGCTCATATGCTAGCCGAGTGTCGGAAACACGACACTCGTAAACATACAGTATAAGAGGGGAGTAAACTCCTGTGTGCTTAATTTGGCAGAGGGGAACTGTAACATAAGTATGTTCCTGGCAGGAACAGCTGGCATGCGAGTCATATGACAATGTTATTTCTATGTAGCATCACACAACTCCCTTTCCCTCCTTACAGCTGCTTTAACTCCAAATAACTCGAGTTCAGCTGCGGACACGCGGTATAGTACAGCACAGTGCAATATATGCACACGAATCAAAACCTAGAAGAATAATACACTTGACCTCAGCTGAACCATGCATATTTGCTGTATAAGTTTTTGAAGTTAGTGAGTAATACTGAGCTTTGGGGACAAGGGACAAAAGTCAGTCCTCAGCAATTATAATATCAGTAGAGCCAAAAGCAAACTCAAGCTCCCACTGTATATCTGGGCTGCAGCAGGCACCTACCAGCCAGTGCAAAGTCCACATTAGTTAAGGATAAGGATAGCATCTGATATCTCCTGTTGTGGAACTTTTTTCAATTATTACAACAATTACATTACAATTTTTACATCTTAATCAAAATAACAGATTATACGATACTCTGTGACCACTGTATACAAAAATAAGGCAACTTAAAAGTAAAATGATGATTAATAAACTTTTGTTTGCTTACCCAGTTTTTTTTTTTTACGTAAAATTACACTGGAGGGAGACAAATGTGTGTCCTACTATTTGCTGTATCAGTGTTTTTTCTCAGTACATGCCATTCCCCTTTCTTGCAATAGCGGGTAAAAGGCTTCAGGCAACCCAAGGACCTGCACAGCATCTTCATCACTAAGGAAACCAGTTTGTATGGCAAGCATTCCTCCACACAGGCTGAACGCAAAGCAGTCCCACAGGCTACACATCAGTGTTTACCACAGGGCCAAGTTACACCACACCATTCTGCACAGCCCCTGTAAATGGAGTAACATTTCATAGCAGCTGTAAAAGTAAGAGGATGCTAGAAAGGGTTAAATTATTCATGTAGCTATCACATTTTTTTTTTTTTTCTCAAAATGGCCAACTTCTTGCAGTGGCACTTGGGTCAATTATATGGGATAGGCTAAAAACAACAGCGTCTATGTAAAGCACAGCCACAGCAAAGAAGATGAAAAGAAAAAGGCAGCCACAGCAGAGCACTGCTCGGCGCATGCGTTGCTGGAGGGGACAGGAAAGGGAAAAAAGACAAAAAGGGTCGTCACATGACAGGTTTTTCTTTCTGCCAGGGGCTGCCTTTGGAAATTTGTGGAAACGTCCTCCAGTACGCGGAATATCGAGGTGTAACAGCGGGAACGAGTGCTGCTGAGGCGTGTCAACATGTTCAAGGAAACGACCAGACTGAATATAAAAGTTCCTGCTTTGAGTCTCCAGCACACACAGAATGCACGTCATGAAATAAAAGAGGCATTATGAAATAAAATACGCTGACAACAACGACACGGCTGTCCAAGGGCACCTGGCTGAACATTTTTTAATTTATCAAACAACCCTTCTTATTAATTGCTAATTAAATTGTCACCTAAAGAGCCTAAAGAGCATGCGCTGGCCTTCGGAGACAAAGTTTGACATACGCTGTGCATAATAACGCAAATGCAACACTAAACGTCGAAACAGTCACTCGAGGCAGTCCGTAATGAGCATATAATGATATAAACATGAATACTGGTGGATTATTTGATCTTCGGAAGTGTTATTATCAAGAAACAGAAAGCTAAACCAGCTATCAGCACTGTTTTAATGTGTGAAACATCAACGCTGGTTGGACGCTGATACTCACCACTGTTACCGGAGAAACCATTTCTCCCTCGCTGGTGTCTCGTGTCTATTTAAAAAAAAAAAAAAAAAAGGTATATGATATAAACACTCGGCTTTAGGGTCCTCCTTTGTATGGTGTACTGTATGAGGGATGCCGATTGTTTTTGTCCTAGCTCCGGTGGGCGGTCCGACGTCCAGGAGGCAATGAGAGGCCAGCCAGTAGCGGAGGGCGGGGCTTTCTCTGTTGACCAATAGGAGCGGAGGGTTGTCGTGGGGGACGGGACCAGGCGTCACGATGTGGGAGGAGTCAGTCTGCTGTTTACATATCGGAGCAGATGGCCTTTTATTTACATTTTACAGAAATGGAGCTGGTTGGTAACGTTTGTTTCGAGCTTATTTTTGATTGCGCACCGACAATCCTTTGTTAATGGGTTGGATTAGGCGTTAGAAGTGAGACAAAAAAGGCTGACGAACATCTGTTTTCTTATAATAAATTAATTGTTAAGAGCTGTTAGAATAGACTAGAATAAACTTTATTGTCCCCGAGGGGAAATTTGCCTTGGGCACGGTGCTACAATCTGAAACAAACAATCAGAAACCCATCACAAAATCAACATGAAACCTCTGAAAACATGAAAGACACTATACATTTTCAACACTGACAATATGGCAGCTTAAAAAGAGACTGTAAGAAACTATCAAAATTAAAGTGCTACGGTGCTGGTGTGTTTATTACACATTGCCCTATTGCACTGTGGTTTAGTATTGGAGTTCAGCAGCTTGATAGAAGTTGGGACAAACGATAACTTCGGAATTAAAGAAATTACAGTTGAACAGAATTACTGATGATTACTGTTTGCATTCATCATTGGATAGAATTTTTCCTTTCTCTCGTTTTGTCTTTCCATACCTTCTCTCTCTCTCTCTCTCTCTCTCTTAGCTCTTTTCGTGTTGCTGCTGTGTTTTAAATTAATACATCAGTAGGCTTGTGTTGTAAGATACCTTTTTTGTGCCATTCTGAGATGAAATAATAGGGTAAACACAGGCGATGCTTGTGATGCTAATTAAGGTTATTTTACTTTCAGGTCAAACTTCTTTTATTGAGCATGTTGACTCACTGGAAAGACTGCTACACTAAATGTAACAGAGCCTTAATTATTAATTAATATCAAAAATGGCTGCTGTGAAAAAAGTCCATTGTATAATCAGTGTATCTTGATTTTTCAAAATAATTAGTTATTAACAAGACAGCATATGAGATAGAACATAATTAAATATGTAGAACTCTAAAAGGTACAGTTTTTACATGCTGGCTGACATTATACAAGAACACCATATTTCATAGAAGTATTATGTGTTTTATCAGCACATTCCTGTGGCTCCCAAACTGGGGAATGAACTGGTGTGGGAGCCACTGCCTTGAATTGTAGGTGAAAAGTAGTAATTTTGCTCAAATACTGTAGTGCTTAAGTAGATTTTTAAGATACTTGTACTTCATTTTAATGCTACTTAATACTTATACTAGTCTAAACTACATTTAGAAGGAAATAATTATGTGCTTATGCCTCTTAATTTATTTAAGAAGCTATTTTACAAGAGATGATAATACATTTATACCCAAATTGGACATGAATCATTTAGTATCCCCTCAAGTAGCTACATTAAAATGCTCTATTGTATAGGTGCTATGATATAGTTATATATTAGTTTGGCACAGTATAGGCCTACATTTTGCTGATAATGCTTCTGCACTTTTGCTCAATAATTGTGAATGCATGCAATTTGTTACTGTAATATTATTGTACTTCCACTTCAGTAAAAGATCCACAGTAAATACTTCCACTATGTAGCCTAACAGGTCTGGTATAGATATTTTGTTAATTGCCTCAGGCTCTTTTAAAAGGTATTTGGGCAAAAATGTTGACTTGATGAGGAGGGAAAGTAGCTTTGGTGACACTTTCACATCTACTTTCTAGAGTAGTCCAGACAAGGGTAATAACCACACGGATAGCGACACCATGTGGTCTTCAAATGTCAGAATTATTCTTGGACGGATATTGCGTGAGGAAACCATAAGACGAAGAGCGGAACTGTCAGCCCTGGTGTACATTTTATTAAAGGAACGGAATAAAGTGAACTGCAGTGAATGAATGTGTAGTCGCTTCGCACATAAATATTAATAATTGACTGTCTCATTATCTTTAATATCTTCTTAAATGTGTGTGTATATATTTAAATGTACTTTTCCACATGATTTGCTGCTCAATATGGCCCTTTTGTGATGTGTAAAATATGTTTATTGTGAATAAATGTGTTCCGAGCTCGTTTTGTTTGCTGCAAATATTTTTTACTGATGTTACAGTTTACAGTCAAACTCCACTTCACCGAACCGTGCCGACCTTCCTTTTTATCCATCAAGATAGATCCCCCCCCCTCCTCCCTCATACTCCCCCTTCTCCAGCCTGGCATTAATAATGTCGCTATCGTAGCACAAGGTTAGGTTAGTACAGTTTTGTGAAACATTCCTCATCTCCCGCTACAAATATATAAATATTAAACCTCCACTGTGACCAGTTACTGTTTTTGTTCCACTTAGCAACACACTAGCAACCCACCCACGACCAAAACCGGCGTAACCTCACAAAAACGGAAGTACGCACAGGTGAGTCATCTTGCCTCCTCAGCGTACTCTCTGGACCCTTTAATTTGTCGGTGGTTCTCGTCGTCAGTCTTAACAAACACCCGGCGTCAGTAATGCCTGAGTTTTTAGTGTTTTTCTTTCAGCAGGCTTTAATCTCACCAGTATTTTGATGGATTTGGTCTCACTTCGGTGTGTTACATCGGTACAAAAGGGCAATTCCGTCTGTCGGGCAGATATTCCGCCTGCCTGCAGGCTTCTTGGTTGGCTATCGTTAGTTAACGTTAGGTTAGCTAACTTCGATAGCGTGTGCTAACGTCCCCGTTAGGGTTAAGCTGCTGAAGTAAAAGTACCGTTAGATGTTTAATGTACGTTTTTGCTTCCCGTGGGCTGTGTTTGATGAAGTGTTTTCCTCGTGACTATCAAAGTGCCGTTTGCTGACGCTAAATCCTGAGCCAGCTGATTTGTAAGCTACAGGCTAACAGTAGCACTCTTCGCTGAGTTTTGCTTCAGACAGCCAGCTCGCATCACCTGCTGCCAAAATGATGGACTTTGACAACATATTGGACCTAGCCTCGCAAAACCAGGGCCTCAGCAGTGTGCAGGTAAGTCAAAGACTGTCACTTGCACTCTGTTTACTCAGTCCAAACAGTGAAATTAAAACACTGTGAGCACACAAACGCCAGCTCATCTGTCAGAGGATCTGATAATGGAGCTAGCTGCTAACTTCCCACCCTCGTGTCCCAGTGTCAGTGTTACCAGTCAGTAGTGATCTCTAGATATGGCTTCCTGATGAATAATATTTACACTCCCTATAACTAAGACATCTGATAACTGTAAAAGGTCAAAGAGAGCTATGGGACTGAGGTGGTAAATTATAACATACATTGTTTTATCCCCATCACAGCAGCAAAAGAGGTACAGTTTACAAACTGGACCCCCCAAAAAGGACCCGAGGTCCAAAGGTGTAAATCCAGCTGCTGTGAAGGCGCTTCTGAAGAAGCAACACACTGAGACCAAAAAGAAAGGTAACTACATTGAGTTAAGGTAGATATCTAGTCATAAACATGCTATACATAAAGAATTCTTAATTGATTTAAATGAACATGTGTCTTTTTTTCCCCCACTCTTCAGAAATTGAAAGTAAGAAACAGAAGGAGGAGCTGCTAGCCAAGAGGGTTGAGTTGAAGTCGGACCGTAAAGCACGAGCCATGGCTTCCAGAACTAAGGACAATTTCAGAGGCTACAATGGCGTCCCAGTGGTAGAGCTTCCCAAGAAGAGGAGATCAAAACACGAAATGCAGGAAGAAAGATCAATGGATGGGGAGAGATTTAGGAATAACTCAATTGACCCTGAGGATGATGAGGATAATTATGACTATGATATGACGGATTCGGAACCAGATCAGGAGCCGGAGCAGGTGAGACCGGGGAAACCCACAGGGAGTAATAGTAGCAGTAGCAGTAGCAAGCACCCCTCTAAAAAGCCCAGCGGGCCACCTAAGCCCGCCCCACCTCCCATGAACTTTGCAGATTTACTCAAATTGGCGGAGAAGAAGCAGTTTGAGCCAGTTGAGCTAAAATCCAAGGCAGTGAAAAAGGATGAAAGGCTCCGCACAGCTGACGAGATAAAGGAACTGGAGTTGGAGCGCAAGGCTAAGAGACCGGACAAGGACAGAGACTCAAAGGCAGAGAGAGAAAGAGACAGCAAGTCCCAGTCCAGCTCTAGTAGAAAAGGCACAGAGAGGGAGCAGAAGAACTGTAAACCGCAAAAAAACTCAGTGGAAAAGCAAAGTCTGCCCAGTGGGTCAGGGAAGAAGTCCCACCAAATACCGATTAGTGATAAAGGCCACTCTTCTTCCAAGCCCACTGTGGGTGACAGAGAAAGAGATAGACCCAAGATGTCTCACAGTGATAGAGACAGATCCAAGATGAGCGTTTCTAGTTCATCTAGTGCCATAAACAGTAAAGTACCTTCAAAAGCCACATCTTCTCAGGTTTCAGCCAAACAGGGGGGACCCAAGCCCTCATCTAGCCACAAATCCAGCACCTCAAGTGACCTTAGCTTCAAAAAGGAAAGCTCATCATTACTTCATGGAAGAACTTCAGGTATTCCTGGGACTAGGCCTCCTGGTATGTCTGTAACAAGCCAAAAATCTCAACATGGGAGCTCCCAACAGACCAGGCCCAGTCAGGGTAGTTCATTGAAGCAGGGACCTATAGTCGGAGGCCACAAATCTGGAAAGGGAGAACCACTCAGGCCTGGAATTAATCCCGCAGTAAAATCAAGTGGAAATTCAGCGATGAGACCTTCATCAGGTGGGCCACCTAGGGCAGGGAGCCAACCTCAGGCCAGGCCTGGAGGCACACTCCAGGCGAAAGCTGGTGGTGTCCAACAGGCCAGGCCTGGTGGGAGGGGCATGCAGGGTCAACCTGGAGGTAGTGGAACTCGACCTCCAGGGATCGGACCCAGTCGGCCTGGTAGTGGCGGACCAGTACCCGGACCCTCGGCTGGCAGCTTTGGATCAGGACCTGGAAGAC